AGGCATACAACCAAGCAGCAGCTTTAATGAAATCACTGACACACTGACCACTACATTGAAATCAGTGCTCTCGACCCTACCAGCCATCGGTCCCATTACCGGCCCACTCGCTGACACCGTCACCAACTTATTGAAAACCGTTACCGGAATATTGGGCGCCGTGCAACTACTAGGTCAATTGGGATAGTCTGAGCACCAGTTTAATGTCGCAAATTATTAATTGTTTTTATGAATAAAATATTTTGAAATTGATGTTACGTGTCTAAAATACTTTTTTTTACCTTACTTGTTAGTAACTATTGGCGGTTACACAATTAGCAATTATTTTGCTCGCGAGTATTACTAATAAACATTGATAATAGTGTATGAAATACAGAAACTGACTTTATATTACATTGTAGAATAGATACCAGGTATTAAACATCTATGGTATTAAATATAGCTTCTTAATATAATAAACTACAGTAATATTAAGACTAACATAGTGAAACCTTTATGCGTTTTTAATAAATAATAAAACTATAGCTAATATTAAATTTTGGCAATTAAAATATTTCAAAAAAAACTAAATAAGTATTTTTTATATGGAATCATTTTAAATGTTTGCATACATTACAGTAACTGTTGCCAGTAATCCACTATTTGGAAAGGCAGGCATACAGACACCAGCTCATTCACCTAGGTCACTGGCACGCTGAAGTTTAGTTAAGTTTTAAGTTAATGATAATGTTTAATGTTCAAACGAGGTAATAACGTTATTAGTTGTTATGTTGAATTACAGTATTATTATTATTATAAATATTAATAATATTTAGGTTTCTATTGAATTTTATACATAACTATTTCTTATGCTAAAAATGACATCAAATTTGTTATTCGTCAAAATAACTATTTAAACTAATTTAACGTGCCTAGGTCCCAAACAGAAAATAATTTAAATTACTTCAGTATTAAATATTATATTTTAGACTTTAAATTATAATTAACTTTATTTATCTCGGTACGTGTCTTTTAACTTAAAAGTTTTAAGTAGTAATAAAAAATATTTTACAAATAATTTTAAAATATTTTTTCCCAGGAAATAATATTAGGTTGGTCAACAAATTTTATTTATTAAACATAAATGTAATACATTAAAACTACAATATCTTATACATAATTAATCTGTGGGTTTAATAGTACACTGTTTGGGAAAGGAATGTTAGGTTAACCGTTAGGATGTAGTAGTATCAAGCTCATTAGTTAACCCTGGCGCTTACCTCATTAATTCCCACACTATTATTATTAAACTGAACAAATATCTTGGTGAACTCATACATCTGTTGCTTAATATCGGAGCACCCATCAGTTTCCAGACTGGACTGACCCACCTCACACTGCTTATCCCTATTAATAGACCAAAACCCTATATGACCCAGGTGCTTTTGCTTAGCCCAGGTGAGTAATTGGTGGGCGTGCTCCTGAGTGAACACCATTCCGTTATCGTTAAGGCCTATCATGGGGGTCGACCCTAACATGGAGTACAGTTCCTGTTCAGACTTTTGGGGCCATATCTTTGCCATCTGTTTGATAGTCGCCTCCCCGGCCGCTATGACCGCCGCCCCCCACTTGCGGTGACTGCTCTCGAAGTTCATAGTCATGGCGTTCACCACATCCACGTCCACCCCGTGCTTCACGGCGGAGGTGATGACGTCCACACCGAGGGGGTCGTTGAGGCCGTAGTCGTCGTCATTCACCTCAATATTAATACGAAATGAAAAATTAGTTTTTGATTTATTTTGACTTCTTTTGGTAAGCATTTAGTGTTCAAAAACTTGTTATTTTAAGTAAAATTGTTTACATTTATTAAAAAGTGAAATGAAAATATTATAAAACAAAAACTGTAATAATAAATTAACTTATATTTAAACATAAATATAAGTTTTGGATTTAATCATATTGGACGTTTGTGGCAGAAAATATTTTTTAATTAAATCATATTATTTTTAAATAAATTTATTAGTATTTAATAGTATTCCTATTATATTTTATATAATTTGTAAAAATATAATTAATTCTAAAAAAGGTATATTTTAAAAACAATTATAAATAACTAGTTTATTATTATGCTTATCGTATATTCATTTTAGTTAGATACTATTTTAAAATTTATTCACAATTAAATTGAACTACCGTTTAGTATTCTAATTAAAATAGTATCAATATAAAATGAAATAAAATCAAATTTATAAAATGACAATTAATAGTACCTAGTATAGATTATCAGCTAAAATATGACAAAATTATTTAACTTATACCTCAACCGTAAAACTAACGGTAAGTCCGGGCTTTTCCTTTTGAATGGCTGCCAGGGCTGGCATCACCACATCCAGGGGTAGACTAGTCTCCACGTCTATATCCAGACCTACCGCTCCCGTCATGTCCACTACCTGTCTATAAGCCTTCAGGAGCTCATCGGTCGTACGGCAGGCGTTCTCCAGATATAGACCCGCAGCCCCACCCGTCGACACAATTAGCTGACCCCCGGCCTCCCGAAACGCCTTCAGCTCTTGGACTATAGCCGGGTCGTCGATGGGTATCTCGCCGTCCCATTTAGGGTGACACCCGTCCACACCTCCCAGTGCAAAGGCCAGGGAGAAGGCGTTTACACCGAGTTTTTGTTTCATGTCAACTAATTTGAACTCGGCACTTCGGGGCACGTATATGTAGGGAGCAAACCGGGGTTCTATGTGTGTTTGGTGGATTAAGCAAGTGCTATAATGTTAATTATTTTTTTGATGACTTTTAGCAACTCTCTTTCCGTACAGATACTAATCGGTGGTAAATGTAACCCTTCAGAGGGTTTAACACTCAGTCGATACTCATATTGAAAACTGAAGTAATCTTTTGTCACT